CCGAGAGTATCTTGACGGAAGAAGAAGAGGGAGAGGACGAAGAGGAGGAAAAGGAGGGGAAGGAGGAGGACGAAGAAGAAGATGATGATGAAGAAGAAGAAGAAGAGGAAGAGGAACTAGATGACGTTGATCAGTTAGTGGAAGATGAAACAAGCAAGGAAAAGGAAAAAGTTGATACTGGCCTGGAGGACAAAATAGAATCCCATGATAATGTCGATTTGAAACTCGCTGATTGGACGCATGGCTCGATCCACAAGAAGGAAGTCAATGCACCAGTAAATGCCACCTGTACAGGTAGTCGAAATAGCCCCTCTGAACCACCAAATTGTTTTGACCAGATCAAAAATGCTAGTGATGCAGCACATGGATCTCTGCTTGTAGATAACAGAAAAGCGTCATCTGGAACTAGTGAGTCTTGTTCTTTCTATTTTTTAAATGACCATTAATCTGGATTTATCTCTTTTTCACGACCATAGTTAAGTGATAATCTTATGGTTACGGTAATAATTCGAAAATCGACACACCCCAATTACGAAAATAATATATTAACTGTGCAGTCTGCACTGATATATTCTCTTCATCCAATAAATTAAAGATAAATCCTAAATTTCCTATCATAGTTCAGTGTAATAAAAATTCAAAATAAATTCTTTTAGAGGTTTTTGGGCCTTGTTTTCCCAACTTGGTCATATTGGTAGGAAGAATTAGAGGAAGGCACCTAGTCCGTTGTATGCATGATAATTTCGAAATTCGGACCGTGGACGTGGTACATTCCCAGGCGTTTCGCCGGCATCGTAGTCGGCATCATCAGTGAGTTTCGCCATTCTTAGCACCTTACTACAACTCATCAAAGAGACAAATTAAACCGATTCTATGACCAAATTTGTGCTAAACCGTTGTGGCATCTCTCCTGTCATGGGCTATTCACCTATCCTATATTCTCGTATCACGCCTTCACCATCACAATTTTTTCTTCCTTATTTAGATGTAGTGTGGTGTGCCCTTTTGAGCAGCTTTCATGAGAATACTCCACACTCCACGCTGATGTTCTCACCCCCCCTT